GGAAAGGCGCGGATTTGCCCTCCGCCCTTATGTCAGCGCGGTAAGGTCGATTTCGCTTCAGCGATTCGGACGGCGCGGATTAGCCCTTCGCGCTTATGTCTCCGCGGAGAAGGGCTTCGCGATATTGTGGTGGAACCATAAGGCCACAGCTGGACAATGAATGGCCCCTCCCAGAGGAAATAAAAGAGGAACGAAAGGGGAGTGGGGTTTGCAAGAGACAATTAGTTCATTCCTGCATTCTTGCCAAGTATTGCAACATCTGAAAGATATCGGCCTGGCCACTCTCCAAGTCTGATAAAGGTCAGTAATTGTGAACCATCTTGAAAGACTGCGGGAGAGGAAAGACTTTGCTGGAGAGGAATTCACTGTCAATTGAATAAAAGGGGTTTATCGGGACGAGGACTCGGCTTCCTGCTGCTGGGGAAGAAGCCTAGGTCAGAGCAGCTATAAAGTTGATTACTTGATTGGTTGGTTGGCTGGCTGATTGGCAACTTGAAACCCAAGCTCAGCAAATGTCTTGTTTCTTTCAACAGGAATCATATTACCAGCCACGGACCCTTGAAAAACATGCAGACAGCATCCTTGCGCTGGTGAGTGTCTCCTCCATTTCATTTTGGGAAGAAGGAGAAAGAGGAAAATAACAACTTCACAGTCTAGAGAGTGATTTGTACACATTTGTGCTTGTGCCAGTCACATTCCAGACTGATCCTCTTCAAAGAAGAACAAAGCATTTTGCTGTAAATATTTCCCTGTTTTCTCTGTTTTCTTCCTCTCCCCCCCCCGTAAAATAATACAGATAGTCCTTGACTTATGACCACAATTTAGCCCAAATTTTCCACTGATAAACAAGACCGTTTTTAAGTGAGTTTTGTCCCATTTTACAACCTTTCTTGCCACCATTGTTAAGCGAATCACTGCCGTTGTTAAGTTAGCAAGACGGTTGTTAAGTGAATCTGGCTTCCCTATTGATTTTGTTTGTCAGAAGGTCGCAAAAGGGGATTAGGTGACCCTGGGACCCTGCAACCGTCATAAATATGAGTCATTTGCCAAGTGTCTGAACTTCGATCACATGACCATCAGGTCATCAGTGTGCAATGGTTGTAAATGTGTAAAATGCTCCTACGTCACTTTTTCTTTAGTGCCGTTATAACTTTGTTCAGCCACTGAATGGATGGTTGTAAGTCGAGGACTACCTGCAGAGTATCCTTCAGGCTCTACACTTCTGTGTAGGTTTTACAGCTGTTAAATAAGTGTAAAATAATCTTTTTTCCAGGGTGGATTTGACACCCCTGATTTAAATCATGATTTAAATCAACTTGATTTAAATCAAATTTTTAAAGAGCTACTGTCATCTCTGTCCTGCAGAGGCTTTTTCTTTGACCTGCCGTTGTCCCGATATTGCAGAATATGCAGCCTCATCCTACATAACTAAGCTCCATTTCATGCGGGGTAAACTAAATTATTAATGTATCTTAAATAGAAAACTATCTTTGGATAGATTCTTACTCCAAAAGCATTCTATTAAAATAAATTTGATAAAAGTCCAGTTTAAATTTTAAAAAATCATTATTTTTTTAAAAAATTGATTTTTATCTACCCTGCCTTTATCACGCTTGGATTAGAATGATAGCATTTTCTCTTAAATCTCGTTTACAGGTGAAATATTAGATGCTTTATTCTCCTTAAGGAAGCCCTTGAATTGAATATCACCTGAGAATGCTTTGAATGTTTGCGGTCCTTTGCGTTTTATTTATTTACTTTTATTTATTTATTTGAGAGCCAGTTTGGTCTAGGGCTGTGGTGGCAAACCTATAGCACGCATGTCCAAAGTGGCACACGAAGACATGTCTCCTGGCATGTGCGGCCTTCCCTGTTTGTCTTCTGGATTTCTGGCGCACATGTGCGTGCAATGATCATCTGTCCATTGCGTGCGCAGCAGTACCGAAAACCAGTGTGTGCGTGTGCTTCGGCCAGCTGATCGTTGGGTGTGCATGTGTGCCAGAACCCGGAAGTTTGGCTTTTCCAGAAGACGCCCCCTTTGAAAACCTTCCTGCGCATGCGCGCTGGCCTACTGATCATCATACGCGCTAGAACCCGGAAGTTTGGCTTTTCCGGAACGCGGCGCGGCAAGTACGCACAGGCGATGTTTCTGCGTGGTTCACCATCACTGGTCTAGTGGTTAAGGCACCAGACTCGAAACCAGGTGACAGTGAGTTCTAGCCTTTCTTTAGGCATGAAAGCCAGATGGGTGACCTCACAGGGTTTCTTGTTCTGTAAAAAAAATGAATTATTTATAAAAAATAATAAAGGAAGTATAAATAAGGAAATAGGAGGGCCTCTTATTATGAAACAGATATTGCATTGAGTCCTGCCACCTTATTCTGCAGCGAGGGGAAAGGAGAGCTGAAGTCCATTTCAACCTCTCCCCTCACTTGGAATATTGCCCGGTTTAGGGAAGCTGTTGAGAGAAGCAAGAGCTCATTAGGAGGACAATGAAAGCGTGTTTACTCACAGCAACAGTCCCCCGTGGCTTTTCAGGAGTAGCTATGGGCACACCCCTTCTCTGAGCGATGTCGCTCTTGCCAGACTCGGTTCCCTGTTGGCTTCAACCACTCCGCTTTCCGTCGCCTTCTCAACTCTCTCTCTGCTGCTTTTCACCCAGCTCCTCTCTCTCGGGGCACATGAACAACCGGCCGGCTTTGCAAAGATTCTTGGAAACGTTGGTTCTCTGTGTAACTCACCCCTCCCTTTGCTCTGTTCTTGCAGGCTTCTGTGCTGTGGTCCATTTCCTATTACTCCTCCCCGCTCGCTGTGTTTTACCTGTACAGAAAAGGTATGGGATGCTGTTCCTGTGTGAACCGTTGGGTATTAAGAGGCTGCCTCTCTGCTCCATAGCTGTAGGACGGTTACCCTTTGCTTGCTCTGGTCCCCCCCTTGAGGAGAGGTCAGTGATCACCTCTGATGCCCACTGCAGGTCACCAAATCAGGGAGGTGGGGGGGGTGCTCTATTGGACAGATTCTGGGACTTGGAAATGATGCCAGGAGGCACACGGCCTCATGGTCATGTATACAGGTAGTCCTCAACTTAGAACCTCAGTTGAGCCCTGAATTTCTGTTGCTAAGTGAGATACTGATTAAGTGAGTTTTGCCCCATTTTACGCCCTCCATGGCCATGGTGGTGAAGTGAATTGCTGCAGTTCGTTTAAGTTAGTATCACAGTTGTTAAGAGCCACGCTGACGCAGTGGTTAGGGTGCAGTACTGCAATCTACTTCTGCTGACTGCCAACTGCCTGCAGTTTGGCAGTTCGATCCTCCGCAGGCTCAAGGTTGAACTCAGCCTCCCATCTTTCTGAGGTCGGTAAAATGAGGACCCAAATTGTTGGGCATATGCTGTCTCTGTAAACACTGTGAAGCAGTTCATAAGTTTTAAGTGCTGTTGCTTAGTGAATCTGGCTTCTCCATTGAGTTTGCTTGTCAAAATGTCGCAAAAGAGACATGTCCCAGGGGACACTATAGCCATCATAAATATAAGCCAGTTGTCAAGTGCCCGAATTCTGATCACGTGGCCATGGGGTGGGGGGCGAGGGGCGCTGCAACGGGTGTTAAGTGTGGCAAACAGTAACTTTGAATGGTGACAAAACGAAAGGTTGCAAGTTGAGGATTATCTATGCATGCTACTAGGTCACTCGCTCAGTTCCTGGCATTTGCAGGCTGATTCAAGAAAAAATATCTGCAGGATGGATACCTTGGGACATAGCCACCAATGCGTGAAGGCAGGAGACAATTGCATCACCATGGCTGTCAGGGTTCCAAGTAATAAACCCAATGAAATCAAAACTCTTGTGGCCTGGAGTTTCCTCAAAGTAAGAATTTATTAGGAATGCCATATTGCTGGGATGGCGAACCTATGGGGCGTGTGCCAAAGTTGGCACGCAGAGCCCTCTCTGTGGGCATGCGCACTGTCATCAGCTGCTCTTCTGCTTTCTGGCACGCCGGCCAGCTGGTCTTCATGGGCGCTGGAGCATGGGAAAATGGCCTGAAAACAGCCCCCAAAATGCCCCCCAAACAGGCTGTTTTTAGGCAATTTTTCGGGCCAAAAAATGTCCCAAGAAAAAGCCAAAAATGACCAAAAAACAGACATACACCCACCGGCGAGCTGATCTTCGTGCTCCAGCATGCACGAAGACCAGCTGGCTGGCCCACACGTGCGCACCGATCAGATTTCCAGTGCTCTGGCATGCGCATGCGTGCACATGCGCACACGTCCCAGTTTCGGCACTAAGTGTCGAAAAGGTTTGCCATCAGTGCCATATTGGCACAGCTGGTGAAAACCCGACTCTGAAGGACCCCCCCCCCAGGTTTTCCCCACCAAATCAAAACCCAGAGTCCTTGTACCCAGGTCAAACATCCATCACATGGTCCAATCAGGTCACAGTCCTCCTTCGGCTGCCTTCCAAACACCTGGTAGGGACATCCTTGGCTCCCACCGGAAAAAATGTTATTTTGGCTACAATCTCCACCCACCCCCCCTTTTCAGTTATCTCTATCTCCCCCCCTTACATTTCCACAGCAGCAACTAGTCTTGTTGTGGCATCCCTGAAGATTTCCAAAATGGTTCCAGGACTGCAATGGCCTAGGATGAGCTGTATCAAGCAGCCCAGTCCAGCTTTCTGGATCAGAGGATACTTTGAACGAAGTGCTGATAACTCATAGCTGCCTTAACGTCTGTAGAGATTCAAATGAATTAGTTAGGATTGCATACCACATCTGTCATTTTACTTTTTTTTTGACAGCATTCTGCCCATTTTAAGAAAAGGTACTTTCCCCAAAATATCACCTCAAACTGCATTAGAATCTGCAGGAGGAATCTTTTTAAAATTGCACATAAAAGTCCTTCCACACAGGCATATCCTGCCCTTAGTCACTGTGGAAAGACCGAGTACACCTTACAAGAGAAATGCTAAGTTACTTTGAAAATGCTAAAGTTACAATTTATTTCTTGTTTTGCGCAAACAATACATTAACTCTAATGTGAACATGATTTCAAGAATGAAAGAGTAGGCCATCTGAAATGTTCCTTGAACTTTCTCAGTAACGTGGGTGAAAAATTCTGAGCTGCTATTTGAATTAGGCAAAAATATGCCAGTTTTTATTGGGAAAAGCTGCAATGAAATGTTTTCTGATTAATGACATACATTTCCTTTACCTTCTTGCTAGAAATAACCACCAAAAAACCACAAACAATTCAAGAGCTGTGAAATTTGTCTAATATTTTATTTACAACTCATGGGTCAGGTTTGTCCCAAAGGTGCTTTTTCAAGAGGCAACTGGACTTGTTTGTTTTTTTTCTTTCAAAGACATTTTGCTTCTCATCCAAGAAGCTTCTTCAGCTCTGAGTGGATGGAAGGGGAATGGAAACCACTTCAAAAGAAAAAAAATACAAGAAAGTCCAGTTGCCTCCTGAAAAAGCACCTTGGAGTCATCAGTGCCTTGAGTCTCCAACTGAAATTGCTGATTCTTTGTTTTGGCTTTTCCTCAAGCCATTATTGATGGGCAAAATGCCCACTTGGCCACCCCCAAATCTTCTTCAGGCACGGCTCCTAAATCACAGCGGAATGGAAAAATTGGGAAACGTAGAGATCGATCTCTGGAACTCTCCCTTTAAAGAGATCATGCTTTCTTTATCAAACTCAGTTTCCGGCAATGATATGGGGAGCTACCATGTAGCTTTCTTGGCAAATAGTACCTCTTTGCCACCGCCTTCTTCCAGGGTGGTTTTTCAACTTCTCTTCTTTTCCTTGTGGTCTCTTGTCCAAGTACTAAAAAAAACCTGTTGGGTTTTTCAAAAATCAGCCAGGGTCAGCTTGGTTCTGCCACTTAGCTGGCCTTTAACTGTATGTCCTTCATTTTGATTGGTGCTAAGGTCAATTGAATGAAAGCGGTAGATTTCTGAGTTCCTGCCCATTTTGGTGGGAGAGGGGGTGTCTCTGGAACATCAGTCAGGTTTTAAAAATGTCATCTTTGGCCCAAAACAAAGGAAACCGTCTTACAACACAGGTTGCTCCGTGGCCATTGGACTTTTACAAAAGGATTATCTCTGGCCAGTGGTGAAATTCAATTTTTTTTACTACCAGTTCCGTGGGCATGGTTTGGTGGGCGTGGCTTGATAGGTGTGGCAGGGGAAGGATACTGCAAAATCTCCATTCCCACCCCACTGGGGCCAGCCAGAGGTGGCATTTGCCGGTTCTCCGAACTACTCAAAATTTCCATTACCGGTTCTTCAGAACCTGCTGGATTTCACCTCTGTCTCTGGCTCCTTTCCTTTTAGCAATACACAGAATTTAGGCTGAATTGATCCTTCATTCAGAAATGGAGAGAACTGCTCTTTGAGATAATATTTGCAAAACGGAGTAGCAGCACCACACACACACACATACACAAAGAAACCAGACGCTAACTTAGCCATTTTATATTTGAAGGGCTGATGTATATGGAAGCCTTTTGTTTTTTCATAGAAAGCTTTTTTCACATGACAAGGCAGCGGAAATTCAGGGGTAAACAAAAGCCTCAGTGTGAGGATTAGGTAATGGTAAGCATGAAATGGGTGTCTAGTACCGTGTTTCTCTGAAAATAGGGCCAATCCCGAAAATAAGCCCTAGCTTGATTTTACATGTGTGCCCAAAATAAGCCCTAGTTAAGACCCCGTCCATTCTCTTGCACCTGGTTGCTCAGGGTGGGGCGAGGCACATGGGTAAAAATCAAGCAAAGGGGGGATAGTGGGGGGAGGAGTGTTGAACTGCTTACTTTCAGACAGTTGCAGCCAGGCCTCGCACACCCCAACACCTGCCTCGCCTTGACCGTCTAGTTCGGCTGCTTGCCACTGCTTGTACGCATCATACCAGCCTCCGGTTCGCCATCAGAGGCCATCAGAAAAGGCCTCTCCAGTTCTCAAACGGGCTCTAGATTGACGCGCATGGTGCCCCCTGGCCTCATTTCACTGTCAGAGGCCTCTCTGGAAGCCAGGGGGCGCCACACGCATCACTCCAGAGCCTGTTTCTCAGCTGCCGAGGCCTTTCCTGAAGGCCTCTGACAACGAAATGGAGGCCGGGGGGGGGGACGTGCGTGAGCAGCGGAAGTGGGCTGGCAGTGAGCTCATGCCGGGCGTGGCTGTTAGTGCCGCTGCCATGAGGTGAATCAGTGGAAGACGTTCCCCGAAAATAACACCTGGTGCCTTTTTTTGGTGGCAAAAAATAAATAAATAAGACCGGGTCTTATTTTGGGGGAAACATCATAATGCTGGTAGATTTTTGGAATAAAATTGGGGTTCTGAATGAACACTTTCAAGGCCAAGTAAGGATGTAGGATTGGGTGCGTGCTTGCTTCTCCCTTGAAAATGTTTATTCAGAATTCCTGTGTTATTACAAAAATCTACCAGTATTACTAGACAAACACACTGCAGCGGGATACGTTTATGGCATGGAATATCTTGATCCATGGCTTAGCCAGTATCTCGTAATAAGGGTAGTCCTCGGCTTACGACCACAATTTCCATGGCTAAGCAAGGCAACCGATAAGTCCCTGCTATTTTCTTAGCAACATTTTCAGAATGGTTCGCTTTTGCTGTCTTCTTCCTAGAATTGAGAGAGAGGGACTGGCCCAAAGTCACCCAGCTGGGTTAAATCATTCGGAACAACGAACTAGCAAATACCATTCTGCAGTTTTTGCAACATCAAAATCATCTTCAGCCTGGTTTCTTTATGGAATAAGATTGGGGTGTGTGTGTGTATTTACTGGTAAAGGTTTCCCTCTTAAAGATGTGAATGCTATTTTGAGGACTATTTCAAAATGGTAGAGTTGGAACTTTTGATTAGGATGAGGAATAGCCAAGAAAACTGTATTGCATTTTATTTTTAGCTGTCTGAAAGTAGGTTTCATCCACCTCAGTTCTCCTCAATTAAAAGACGTCTATTAGCTGGAAAGTCATAGAGTTGCCATCCTAGAACATCCGGAGGGCAGATTAGGGAAGTCAGTAATCAACCCCTCTTCCTTTCTAAGTAAAAACAATGCATTCTTAGCCTTTGATGTGCCAATTGCTCGCTCTCAACCCCTTCCCTTTCTTTTCCTTTCTTTCTTTCCAGGGTATTTAACCATGCCGAAAGTTGTTGCTATTTCTCACTATGCCGGGACCATGCTACTACTCTTGGCTGGGATTGCCTGTCTAAGAGGTGTGTGCTTTGATGGGTCTGGATGTTGGGTGGTAGGTCTACTGACTCGGGAAAGCCATACTTTAACTAGGTTTGGAATCTGGTCTCTGTGTTTATGAAGTTGTACCTGAGTTGAGTTGTATTCACGGTAATACAGGTGACTTACAACCATATTTGGGTGCAGAACTAAGTGATGGGGTCATTAAGCCAGACATCCTGGAAGCAGATCCAATTTTGCAACCATTTCTACCATGGTCGTTAAGCAAAGCATGTGGGCATTAAGTGATTCTGGCTTCCCCAATTGACTTTCTTATTGGAAGTTGACTGGGAAAGTTGTAAAACACGATCACATGACCACAAGATGCTGCAACCGTCATAAATGTGGCAAGCACCCAAATTGCGACATGACCATAAGGCTGGTGTGACGATATGCCATAACATTGAGGAGGGGCCATAAGTTACTTTATCCAAAGCCTTGCTAATCAAGTTGTCGTAAATTGAGGACTACTTGTAAGAGCCAAAATCTAAGCCCTGGTGTTGCTTCTGTTCTAAACTTCAGCAGTGAAGGAAAGTGAGATAAGAGCCGTGGTGGCGCAGTGGTTAAAGTGCAGTACTGCAGGCTACTTCTGCTGATTGCCGGCTGACTGCAGTTTGGCAGTTCGGATCTCACTGGCTCAAAGTTGACTCAGCCTTCCATCCTTCTGCGGTGGGTAAAATGAGGACCCGGATTGTGGAGGGTAATATGCTGACTCTGTAAAACCACTTAGAGAGGGCTGTACAGCATTGTGAAGTGGTATATAAGTCTTATTGCTATTGCTAATACAAGTGTCTGGTGCAATAAATCAGAAAGCACGGCAACCTGTTCAAATGGCGACAGGTTTAACACTAGAAGGATCTGAACCACTAAATTGGCAACAGATAAGAGCCAACGGAATTTCAAGGAGGGCTTGGATCTCTTGTGGGCGCCGAAGGGACTCAAGAATGATGATGCCTTTAATGCCCTGGCGCCCTCGGGCTCAGGCTGGTCGTCTCTCTTACATCAGTAGAGACAGCTGTCAGGGTTCCAAATAGTATCCAATATAAAATCAGAATCTGAGGCAAGAGATTCTTCAAAGTTCCGATTTATTAAAAGAGCCACGTTGGCCCATCCAGGAAAACCAGAATCTGAAAGCTTCCTGGTTTTCCCACCCAGTTGAAAGTTCAAGATCCTGCCCCAACACTCACAATTCCATCACATGGTCCCAATTTTCCACTGCCACGAAGACAGTTCCGGCCAGGTGCAGAGACAAAGATGACCTTGAGTTTCTAAGTAGAATGTTGTTATGGCTACGTATCAGCCCACTCCATATAATCCCCCCTCCCATTTTCCCACAGTGGAATGTGTGGCAGGCCTGAGGTCCAAAAAGGAAAGATGGCTTGCAGGCATGACAACAGCATTGATAGAAATAATAATAGAGGGTTGTTATGAGGACTGATAGGTTGAATCTTCGGGGAAGGATTTGAAGGGAAAGGAAATAGCACCTCATAGGTTCCCTGGGTGGTAACGCCGAGCAAAATGGACTGTTTAGGGCCCCAGTCACTAAAAAGGTTCCTGCTTCTTTTCAGGCATCGGGCGCTGGACAAATCCTCAGTACATCCAGTTCATTACCATCCTTGAAGATGCCCACCGGTATGGCACACCTGAACACAAGGTAAGGGTAGCAGGGTACTTATTATTCATGCTGCGTATGAAATTATAAAATATGTGATTGGGGAATAATCATATTTGCTGTTTTTCATTTTAAATCAAGGAAACCAAAACAAAGTCCTAGTTAGAACCCAAGAAAGATGTTTATTTATGTTGGCTGTTGTACAGCCTTCAGCCTTAATATGCATTCTCTTTTTAAGAAGACTAAATTTTGGGTGGCTTGAAGAGAGGGTTGCTTGTATTTTGTCCTGCATTCATTTAGATATTTTAGAATGTTCTCTGAACTTAGAAAAGGAAACGGTCAGAGTATGAATGTTCATAGACTGGAATAGACAATAGGTGAGCCAATTAGGGCTGTTTAGAAACTGAAACAGTATTTGCTGTGTGAGCAACATGGAAACAGCAAGGAGCCTGGGCGTGGCTTAGATTAACTTCTGTAGTATAGCTCTGAGTCTGTGCTGAGCTTTAAACTAGTGTGAACTGAAACTATTCTCTCCTCTGCCTGTGTTTTGCTTGTATTTACTACCACGTTGGAAAACCTGCTTTTGATATTGTATATTTTCTTCATGTGTTATATTATATATAAAGAAAAGTTAAT